CAAAGAGACTCTCCGATCGCGCATAAATCGCACACAAATTTATCGAAAATCCTCAAAGTTACACGTCTCACTCGAAGTTTCCTTTCACGGAGGGTGTCGTGACACGGTGCGAAAATACGTGGAAATTTTTCCTAGTCAATTACAGGTCGACATCCGAAATAGGACATCGCACGTGCAATGGTAAAGTGACAGCTGTCGAAGTCGTCGTTGCGATTTAACCGTAATGGAACGTCTCTCCTGTCGAGGCGACGGATTCCATCCCGATCTCTTGGAACGACACGTGCTCTACGATTCTCGTGGAAAAAGTTTGCGCGGTAATAGCGACCGGCCGATCGATTTTGCGACGGAAATAAACGGATGGCGCGGCGCGGCTCGATACCAACGACGACGATTTAGCAAGAATTTATTTTCGTACGGGGACGCAATGCCGATCGAATCAATAAGAAAGCACACGATGCGCAGAGACCACAAAACCTATACCGGATCGACGTGAACCAATTTCTGCGGGAGGCGTGAAGCGGCGAAAATAAAGGACACGACTTGATTTAGTGCGAGAGCCAACGTGTTGGTCAAATAAATCAGAAATATAAAAAAAATTATGAAATCGAATTTAGAAATACCTCAAAATTATATATTGTATTAATTATAATATACAAAATCATTGTTATATCCTCATATAACATAGATTTTAATTTAATGACCGATTGCTCGCAAAGATACGGTTTTTAGCTTCCTTTCAGAAATTAAATAAAATTCTGCTATTTATTAAAGTTTCAAATCCACAATAGCTCAATCCATAAAAATCCTTTTCTTTCCCAATTGACATGTATGAAGAATTATTAACAACGCGTGCTTTCACGTTTTATTTTTAAAGACCAATTCGTCAAAAACTATTACTGTATTTAATCAACGTTTTTTTTTCAACGCAGTAAATCAAACTTCCAAAGTTCAATTAACACATTTAAAAAAATAAAACTTATCCGCACAACTTACTTAACTATGTTATTTTCGTTACTAAAAAATAAAGACTTCTGATTTTAATATTTTTGTCAAAAATATATTACAAAATATTTATTACAAGAATATCCTTATGACATAGAAATAAAAAAATAATATAAAAAATAATTACCTTTTTCAAACTTATCCAATAAGTATAGTTAATCGACAACTGCAAACACTTGTAAAATGTGATAAAACACATACCTGAAACAAAATAAAATACTCTTGTTAATTTTAAAAGCATTCAAACAACTCTTTTGCGAAGATTAAAACCGATAATCATTTCTTTTCAATATATTTATTGTTAATATAATTCGTGTAAACTGTTGATAATAAAACGAATTATTTAATAAAAATTATTAAAATACAATTTACTTAAAAGTCACTTATATTCAATGAGATAGAATTATTTTATTTACAAATATTAAATTAATATCCATTCTATCCACAAAATTAATATCCACAAAATTAATTTAATTATTAATTTTACTATTTTTACTTTACTTTTATTATAAAATTGCATTATTAAATAAAATTTAAAAATAACAATCCTAGTTAATTGAAAAAAGATAAATATTACACTAACGGCTTTTATTTTTTGTAAATTTAATTAATACCAATTCGGCATTCTAAAATATTTTTTTTGTAAAAAAAAAGTTAAAATATTTCCTTTAATTAAGTAATTTTAGAAAACATAATAAACAATACTGCAAATCTATATCAAAACTCTGCATCTCTCTCTCTCTC